TGGCACATTTGAAAGTTTCCAAATGGCCTTCCAAAACGGTTGCACATTCCAGCTTTTCGTATAATCACAAGCCCTGAAGATAAAATCCTTATTTAATTTCAATTATCTTGTAGGTGATAAATGGTCATATTTTGCTGTTTCAGTTTGAATTTCTTTGATAGCTAATGGGGTGGAACTGTTTTATGGGTGAATTATCCGTTTTCACTGCTGTAGAAGAAACCACCTAAAAACTTGAGGGTGACCACTCATTACTGCTCAGAATTCCAGGCACCAGCTGGATGGTTGACATGGCTCATGTTGCTGGGTCCACTCATGTATCTGCAGCACACTGCAGGCAATCTGGATGCCTTTGCTTCTAAGCCTGAACATAAAAAAGCTGGAACACCTTGATTTTCTCCCAGCTGGTTCCCAGCATTTGGCAGCAAAGCCCAGACTGGTTTGCATGGTAGAAACAATGTTCCAAGAGAAGGAACAGAATTTGCAAAAACTCTTAATCCTTGACTTGGAATGGACACAACACCCAAACTGCCTCCTTCTATTTGTGAAAGCAAGTCACAAGACCAGCTGAGAATCAAGTAATGGGAAAGAGACTCCACTTCTTGATGCCAGGAACTTCAAACTCATATTGCAAGAGGGCATGGACACAGGGAGAGAATAGTCTAGCTATTTTTCAAACCATCTACTAACATATTTTCTATAGATCAATATAAATAATAAGCAGACCAAAACTCCCATTAAATTCTTATGAAACAAATTCATACTTTGGAAAACATTCAGATTTTCTTCTCAGTGTGAAGGGTAGGTTAATTTCTTCATCTGTCTCTTGGGTCAATAAAAGCATTAATTTAAAATCTTCTATTTACAGTATCCCTTTTTTTGCATAGATTAATCCAAGTGTAGGTTTTCCAAATTAGTTTTTGCTTAGGCTCATTAAAATCAATCCATTAATTCTGAATTTCTTTCTATAACATTTTAAAGCAAGAAATAAAGAAAAGAATAATTTTTCCCTTTCAATGCACTTTGTTTCTTATTTTCCAGGTTCTGATATCAATGTACTGTCCAGTGGGGAAGAGCTTCTCCTCCAATTGAATTTTCCTGGCACCACACCCAGGGTATTTTTTTAAATTTTTTCCTTAGCATTTTTCTAATGCTGAGACTCTGAGATTTGGGGAACTTTTATTTCAGAAACACAGACATGCTTAGTAAAGAGTTGTTCAGAACAAAGTCAACACCTAGATGCTGACAAACCAAACATCCTATTTTGAATATGGGACACTTCTTACGGAAAGGACAGTTAGAAGAGATACATGGTCAAATAACCAGGACAAACATTCTGTTATGTATTTTGATTTCCCTAGCAATGTAGGATAAATTGCAAATTTTAAAATATTCTGGCTATCTCCAGACATGGTACCTAGCCTCAGTATTTCTAATAGTCACTCGTTTGTTCAACAAATAGAAAATATTTACCTTTGCTACACATTGTAAAAGGCACAAGAGATACAGAAGTAGCAAGTCAAACACAGTCCCTGGGATCATTAAGTTCACAATCTACTGTGAGATACAAATAATTAAGCAGGTGATTATAAGCATTTGTGATAGGCAATTCTTCCTTGAGATCCAGACAAGAGGCTCCATGCATTTACATCTCAGACCCCAAAAAGTAAATTCATCAAAACACACATGAGTACTCTCAACTAAAAACAAATCAGACTAAGGTAAGGAGAAATGATCTTCAAAAAGATTATTGCAATGGGGCAGGGAGACCACAACATTCGGGAAAAGCACTACAGCCATAGGGAAGAGGACTACAGTGAGAGTGGAGGGGAATCATAGTAACAGGAGAGGGGAGCACGACAATAGGGGAGGGGACTACAGCAAGAGGGGAAGGAAACCACAGCAACAGGAGAGGGAACCAGAGCAACAGAGTAGAGGACCACAGCAACAGGAAAGGGGACTGCTGCAATAGAAGGGACGACAGTCAAGGGGGAAGGGACCATGCCAATAGGGGAGGGGACCACAGCAGCAGGTGAGGGGACTCCAGCCACAGTGAGGAGGGAACCACAACAACAGGAGAGGGGACCACAGCAGTGCGTACTGGGGAGGACTATAGCAACTATAATAAAACTGTTAAGTTTGTTTAATGTACAAGGCAAATGGTGTTTCTGTGCAGACTGTGAAGGGGCTGGGCTTCATGTCTGAACTGAGTTGCCTCAAACTAAGAAACACAAGCAGGTATGAGAAGAGAACAGAGAAAAGTTTACAACTCAGGGGAGTTTGCCCTTGGCAGGTGAAGGGTGGGGACCATGTTGGGTGCTGAAGGAACCCTCTCCAACTACGTGAAATTGAGTTCTGCAGTGGATTTTAACTTGGTCTCTAAGAGGCAGAGGGACCTTAGCTGATCCATGGACTGCACTCGATTTGGGGCAATTTTTCCTTTCTGATGAGTCAAAGGCATGATCATAATAAGCTTCTGATGATGGCTATTTTTAGAAAATATTGGAAAGTAGCTACAGGAAAATATTATCAGTTAGAGAAAAATATTTATTCATTTATTTACTTACTTTGGTGGGGAATAGGATATGAGATATAATTTCACCCTTAGTAACACAGGGATATTAGTACATTACTGCCTTAATGTCCCATTTGGAGTCAGAATCATCTGCAATATTTAGGAACCTCTCTTAGTTTATAAAACACTGTGGGCTTTCTTCTGTTTCAGAAAGCACACTTCAATCTTACAAAGTTCTGGCCAGGAAAGGGTCAACGTGACCTATCTTGCTTAATAATCTGAAAATCCATTTCGAGAAACAAAACACAAAATGATTTTCCTCAAAGAGCCTTTTTCTGCACTTGAGGCTTTACAGATATATTTTCTGAGAAGAGAGTAAATTTCCCTAAATTGCATGTTCTAAAAACTCCAGTAACATTTTAATAATAAAAAAAAAAGGCTTAAGCTCCTGTTGTCTACCTCTCCTAGACACTTATTAATGAGAAAGAAATCTAATCCATAATGGACTTGTTCTGGGAACCTGGGCCGAAGTCAGGCATAATTTAAACATTCTGTACAGCATTTAAAGACAAAGAACATCATATTATTGTTTTGAAGCACTGTGGTTTTTTTTTTAATCTTATCTTTGAAACCTAGAATTTTTTCAGCCTATTTAATTTTCTAGATATCTGATGACTATAACTTTGAGACAGATTAAGCTAGGTATGCACAGCTCAAATATTTTTAACTTATAAATAAGAGCACATGATATTAACCCAACAAGAAAAGTAAATAAAAACAAATGTATGAGAAGCTATTCAACAAAACATGAAGTAATGCTCCTCTATGGTTCACATTCTAAATTTCGGGAGAGAAGAATTGGGTGGGGAGAGTGTAAATATCAAATTATTTTACTTTTCCAATGACATTTCAGACCCCTTTCAGAAGCTGATCATATGAATGCCTCATTGTCACTGCCTCCAACCCAGAAAGGAAGCCAGCCCTTCCACTTTGCCATTGCCCTCTCTGTCAGTGATTCTCCCAGAACAAGAGTCAGCGAAGTTTTCCTGTAAAGGGCTGGATAGTAAATACTCTCAGCTTTATGAGCCATATGGTCTCTGTTTTGATAATTCAACTCCAAAATTGTAGTGAGCAAGCAGTTATACATGATATAAAAATGAATGAGTGCGGCTCATCAAACTTTATTTGCCATAATAGGTGTGGGCTGTGTTTGGCCCACAGACTGTAGTATACTGAATTCTGTGCTAGAGATGCCCTATTTGGTTTGACTTGGGAACTAAAGGAAGCATCCTATAGAGAGAAGGGAACTGAACTGAGGATGCTTCTGGCTTTTGTCCTGCCACCATCCTCCTGCTCACCCCTACCTTGAGTTTTCTGTGTTGACTGTGGAGGAGTGTGCCAAGACAGTGGTCCAGAGAAGAGGGTAGAGTTGACTGGGGTAGCTTTCAGTAAGCCTCACTGGAGAGCCTTACTGCTTGCAATTCTTCTGTGAATGCAGGGAAATTGAGGCTACTTTGTCTTCATTTTAGATCCATTTTTTACTATTTTCTCAGGGAAAACGCCCCTAAATAGAACTACTAAATCAAGTGGACAAGCCTTATTAAAGATAACTCCTCACTCACAGCAATACATAAAGATGTTCTTACCACAAAACATAGCATTGGTATTAAAATCTCTAACATCACAGTTGAAAATATCTGCCTTTTCTTTGCATTTCTTCATTACTAGTGATACTTAGAGCATTTTGTCATGTGTTTATTAGTAATTTGTATATCCTCTTCTACAAACTAGCTTTTTTTGGTCTTTTGTTTCATAGATCTCTATTGATGAGTTATATAACAGCAATAGAACAGTATGTGAACTGATATATTATATCATTATTTAACATTAGACTGCGCTGGTGCCGCAGCTCACTAGACTAATCCTCCGCCTACGGCGCCAGCACCCCCGGGGTTCTAGTCCCGGTTGGGGCACTGGATTCTGTCCCGGTTGCCCCTCTTCCAGTCCAGCTCTCTGCTGTGGCCTGGGAAGGCAGTGGAGGATGGCCCAAGTGCTTGGACCCTGCACCCGCATGGGAGACCAGGAGGAAGCACCTGGCTCCTGGCTTTGGATCGGCACAGCATGTCGGCCCTAGCAGCCATTTGGGGGCTGAACCAACAGAAGGAAGACCTTTCTCTCTGTCTCTCTCTCTCTCTCTCACTGTCTAACTCTGCCTGTCAAAAAAAAAAAAAATTAGACTGATAAGCAACTCTACGTTGAAAGTCGTGGTTCCTAAGAAAGTTAGGTTCAGATGAAAACTCTCAGTTTAAGAGGTATGTCTGTAATTGGCATACGCTAGAATTCTACCAGAATGCAACACAGAGGTGATCAACATTAGCATGCCCCCTGAGGCACACCTGGATGTTATTCTTAAATCTGATCAAAACCCTTGAAGCACAAAGGAGATTTTACTTTTAGAAGTTAAAGACTAGCAGGATCATCAATGTACCTTCTAGTGAGGCTGGCATTGTGGAGTAGCAGGTAAAGCCACAGCCTGTGATGCCGGCATTCCATATGGGTGCAGGTTTGAGTCTTGGCTGCTCCACTTCCGATTCAGCTCCCTACTAATATGCCTGGGAAAACAGGGGAAGATAGTCTAAGTGCTTGGGCCCCTGTACCCACATGGGAGACCCAGAAGAAGATCCTGGGTCCTGGCTTTGCCCTAGCCCAGCCTCAGGTTGTTGTGGCCATTTGGGGAGTTAACCCAACAGATGGAAGAACTCTTTCTCTCTCTCTGTCTCTTTCTCTCTCTCTCTCTGTAAATCTTCCTTTAACAAAAAAGGACATTCTAGTATGATGTGATACAGGTGTGAATAAAAATTTTAATCTTGAAATAAACCTAGATAGTAATAAAAGTTTGCTTTCTATTTATATTTTGCACATTTAAGATTTACAGAGATGATAAATTTTAGTTTTTGCTTTTAAAAAAGAGGAGAAAAATGTGTTCTTTGTATTATCAGGGAATTGACCCTTTTTGTTTTTGTTGATTATATTAAGGTATTTTCATTTGCATAGGCTTTAAATATCATAATTCTATACATGTAAGTACCAGTCACAATTCTGGTTTTTTCCTGATTAATAATCTTTATTAAAAGAAATGCAGAATTTAGTATGAAAAATCAAAAATATATAAAGTGTAGACAAATATTTCCAAGAGACATGGCATGAGACATTGTAGAATAGAATCTCACAAAAAACAAACTAGTGTGTATAAAGCAGTTCCAGAATATGGCATAAAGTTCAGGTTCTTCATATGACTTTGGTAGGAGGGCATTGAGAAGTGGCGATTTTAATATTCTGTCCTCTCTGCATTCAATTCTGTGTATTTTAATAGGTGTTTTCAAGCAGCAGGTACCTCTCAGAAACATCCCACTTGCTTCCAGCTAATGGAGTAAATAGTGCTTCTCTGTCCTTTGTGTTCAAGTGAGATGTTAAGGACCACTTTCTGTTGGACCTGCGCTTTGAGTCAGTTGGTTCCTTATTAGTTTTAATGAGGAACAACTCACACTGTGTTTGAAACATCCAAGAAACACCCTCTCCTCCCTCTCCACCTTCAGTGGAGGGCAGGTATGGATGTTAGAGGAAAGGCCTTGAAAATGGACAAAGTATTAGGGCTCCTGGTCATTTGTGTTGACACCATTTTATACTTGCTTTAATTATTGCAATTTTATACAAGGTTTTTAGAAATAGAAATATAATGCTTTTCTTTTTTTAAAAAAATATTTTATTTATTTGAGAGGTAGATTTACAGGGAGAGACAGAGAGAAAGGTCTTCCTTCCATTGGTTCACTCCCCAAATAGCTGCAATGGCCAAAGCTGTACTGACCTGAAGCCAAGAGCCAGGTGCTTCTTCATGGTCTCCCATCTGGGTGCAAAGTACCAGGCACTTGGGCCATCTTCCACTGCTTTCCCAGGCCATAGCAGAGAGCTGGACTGGAAAAGGAGAAGCCAGGATTAGAACTGGGCCCATATGGGATGCTGGCACTACAGGCAGAGGGTTAACCTACTGTACCACAGCACCGGTCCCGAAACATAATGCTTTTCTAAGAGTTTGAGAAACTATAACTCCAACACTTTGGTTCACTCTGATCCAGTTTCTCTTCCATGATCACCATTGCATTGATATATCTATTAGTCCACCTACCATAATTTATCCAATCTCCTGTTGATGTACAACCGGGTTGCTTCCAACCTTTGTGTATTATTAATATATCTGCTTTGAACATGATTGTACAAGACATTTTATGAACCTATGCTTTCATTTCTACTAAGTTAGAATTTTGATGGATCAAAAAGAACATATGTGTTTAAATTTAAAGGAAATTGCCAAAAGATTCTTCCAAATTGGGGCTGGTATTGTGGCACAGTGTGTTCACTTGCCACCTGCAACTCCAGCATCCCATATTGGAATGCTGGTTCAAGTCCCAGCTGCTCCAGTTCCAGTGTAGCTTCCTGCTGATGTACCTGAGAAAGCAGTGGAAGATGGTCAAGTGGGAGACCCAAATAGAATTCCTGGCTTCAACCTGACCCAGCCCCAACTGGCGCAGCCATCTAGGGAGTGAACCAGTGAATGGAAGAGCTTTTTCTCTCTCTCTCTGAAAGTACCCTTCAAATAAATAAGTCTTCAAAAAACTTTCCAAATTGATTTCCCCATCTTAGAGTTTCATATAAAGCAATGCATCAAAGTTTTCACTGTCCCATGTCCTGATCAATATTTGTTATAATAGTAGTAGCCCATTGAGAGGTTTTGATTTGTATTTCCCTGATGCTTAATGATATCAATAATACTCTCATGAATTCATTGTTCTATGTTCATCTTCATAAAACATCTCTAAGTCCTATGCTCACATTTTTATTATGTTGAATTTTTAGTTATTGAGTGGTAGGAATTATTTAATATATTCTGGATATGAGTCTTTTTGTAGATGTATATAGGAGTATTATTAATTACTCCAACTCTGTGGCTAGTATTTCATTTTCTCAATGGCATCTTTTACCAATACACTTATTTCTAACTCTTTCATATCAGAAGTTTTAAAATTTTTAATGCCTATTTATCAAATTTTTGTTTTCTATTAGGGATAGTAGTTTTGAGGATTAGTTTATAAGTCTTTGAATAGTACTACAGAAAGCAGATATCATTGCCTTATTCCAGATTACACTGGGAAATCATGCAGATGATTGCTATTTTAAGGAGGAAATTAGATATAGGCTTTTTGTAGATGCCCTTTATTAAGTAAAGGAAGTTCCCTTCATCTTTTTATGTTTTACTTTAGCAATGGGTTTCAATCCCTCTCATAGCTGAATAAGTTATGTCATCCATACAAATACAAATGGAGGCACTGCATTGTTGGCACATTTATTACAATACTTTAATTATTATCTTTAATCCTGTCTACCATATTTGTCTTATAATTTGGTAGATATGAATTGATTTTCTTGTGAACTGATATGAAAAACATAAGTATATATTCAACATATGCTTTCGTGTGTGTATATTTCTTATCCAAATGCATATATCCATACATACACACACACTTGAAAATGTGTTAAAAATCCATGAAATTCTTCAAATGAAAGACTCTCAAACATGTTAGAAAATTTAAACAAAATGAGAACTATTACAAATGATGCACATTTTTAGTAGCAAAATTACACAGCAATGTGTGCATTTCAAAACATCCATTTTCTAGGCACTTTAACAAATACCTTTTAAAAAGAAGCATTTTTTCTCTTTTAAAAATCACTGAGGAGGTTTCAAGATGACATAGTAGGGAGGGAGCTTACTGCTCTGGTATAGGAGAGGTTAGCTTAAAAAATGGAGAGAGTGCAGTTTCAGGGAAGAGTTAGAGAGAAAATGGCAGAGGAAATTCTACACAAATTAGAGGGGCACAGAGGACCTATGTGAAGGGTGTGGAAGTCCATGGGTCAGGACTCCAGCAGCCAAGAGCTTCCACACCAGTGTGGAAGAGTGAGATGAAACCAGACAGCAGCAGTCTAAGCAACTGGTGATAAAGCTGCTGAAAGAACCTAGAGGGAACTCAACTTGGAGCCCTGTGGGGGACAGTGTACCTACCAAACTAGAAAAAAAAAAAGGAGGACATGTTTCTCTCTACTGGATCACATTACAATGGTGTCCTGTAACAAACCAACAGAACAGGCACCATTTTGGACATAAGTGACAGCTGAGCCAGCTTGTGTCCTTACCCAGCAATCAGCCAAGTGGAAACTCCTGACTCTGGTGGGGAGAACTAACAGGAGGTTGAGTGCTCATGACTGTGTGCTGGAACTATTAAAAAAAAAAAAAACTGAGGCTGGGTTCGAAGACTCACAGTGTGGCAGTCACTGTGGGAGATTCTACACACTCAGGGCTTCCTGGTGACCTGGTAAGGGGCATTGCCAGGAAATTTGAGCTTACACTGAGGACTGCACAGATCCTTTATGTGGTCTTTGGGACAAAACAGACAAATATTACATCCACTGGGGCTAGTGCTCAGGCACAGGTCTTCTTTGAGGAGAGGAGCTCAGCTGAGCAGAATAAATCTCCCTTTGATAAGAAAAAAAAAAAGAGAAGATTTACCAAATCTGGGTGTGTCACGTCAGACACGCCATTCACCCTGGAGAACTGAACAGTTACCTGGCCACACCCACCACACACCTCTAGATATTCACTGAAAGCAGACACTCCACATATCTACAGAGACATAGTACAAAGATAAAAGCTGCCACAGCAGAAAAAAAAAAGAAACCAATGAGTATCTCCATGAATGCCTAATAAAAAATGCAACAAGAAACAAGAATAAGAAAGACAACATGACACCCCCAAAATAACACAATTCAATACTAGATTGTGAAGATGATGAGATTGAAGAAATGCCAGAAACGGAATTTAAAACACTGATCATAAGATAACACAGAAGTAATCAGAAGCAAATGCACGAGCTACTGGATTCTGTACATGATATGAAAGAAAATTTCTCCCACAAAATTGAGATCTTAAAGAGAAATAAAAATGAAATGAAGAATTCAATAGAACAAATAAAAATGCAGTAAAGCCTCAACAACAGAATTGGTGAAGCAGGAAAAGGCTATCTGCAATCTAGAAGATAAAGCACAGAAAATTTTACAGTCAAATCAAGAACAAGAAGAGGAAATCAGAAAACTGAAAAATACTGTTAGGAATCTACAGGATACTAGCAAACAACCCAACAAACAGGTTCTAGGTGTTTCTGAAGGCATGGAAAGATAGAATGGATTAGAAGGTCTTTTTAGTGAAATAATTACAGAAAACTTCCATAATTTGGAGAAAGAAAAGGACATCCAAGTAAAGGAAGCACATAGAACTCTTAATAGACATGACCAGAAAAGATCTTCACCATGACACACTGTAATCAAACTCTCTACAGTAAAACATAAAGAAAAGATTCTAAAATGTGCATGAGAGAAACACCAGATTACTTTTAGAGGATCTCCAATTAGATTCACAGCACACTTCTCATCAGAAATCCTACAGACTAGGAGAATGGAGAGATATATTCCAACTCTTAAGGGAAAAGAACTATAAACCTAGAATACTATACCATACAAAGCTCTCATTTTTGAATGAAGGTGAAATAAAGACCTGGCATAACAAACAGAAATTGAAAGAATTTGTCACCACCCATCTGGCCCTATAGAAGATTAAGGATATGCTAAATAAAGAAACATGGTCATCCGTACAAAATAAGGTAAAGAAAGGAAATCTCCCAGTAAAAGTTCAAAGGAAATTCTAAGTAAAAAATAGGAATATATTTGGAAAAATGGCAGGGCAAAGTCATTACTTATCAATAGTCACCTTGGATGTAAATGGCCTCAACTTTCCAGTTAAAAGACACAGACTGGAAGAACGGATTAAAAAATAAAACACATCTATGTAGTGCCTACAAGAAATAAATCTCACCAACAAAGATGCACGCTGACTGAAAAGGAAAGGACGGAAAAAGATATTCCATGCCAAAGAAATCAAAAAAAGGCTGGTGTAGCCATCCTAATATCAGATAAAATAGACTTTAACACAAAAACTGTTAAAAGAGACAAAGAAGGGAACTATGTAATGATTAAGGGATCAATTCAACAGGAAGATGTAACTATTATAAAAGTATATGCACTTAATTACAGGGCACCTGACTATTTAAAAGAAATGTTAAGGGATCTAAAGGGAGATACAGACTCCAATACAATAATAATGATGGGCTTCAATATCCCCAGTTTTAGCAATGAACATATCAACCAGACAGAAAATCAGCAAGGCAACAGCACAGTTAATCAACATTATAGACCAAATTGACCTAACAGAAATCTACAGAACTTCTCATGCTATAGTTGCAGAATACACATTCTTCTTAGCAGTGTACCGATCTTTCTCTAGGATTGACAGCATGCTAGACCATAAAGCAAGGCACAGCAAATTCAAAAAATCAAAATCAAACCATGAATCTTCTCAGACTACAATGGAATGAAGCTGGAAATCGACACCTCAGGAATTTCTAGAACATATGCAAACACATGGAGACCGAAAACATGTTCCTGAATGAACAGTGGGTCATAGAAGAAATAAAAAGAAAAATCAAAAAATTTTTGGAAACAAATGAAGATGACAACACAACATATCAAAACCTATAGGATAAAGCAAAAGCAGTGTTAAGAGGAAAGTTTATACAGTTGATGCCTACATCAAGAAATTGGAAATACACCAAGTAAATGAGCTATCAACATCTCAAGGACCTGGAAAAACAACAACAAACCAAACCCAAAACTAGTAGGAGAAAATAAATAATTAAAATTAGAGAAGAAATCAACAAAGTTTAATCCAAAAACACAGTACAAAAGATCAGCAAAACAAAGAGCTGGTTTGTTGAAAAAATACACAAAATTGGCAAACCATTGGCCCAACT